CTCCTCCCTATTTCATTGGTTTTCTTTATCGGGCGAAGTGCCACGTTGTCGGGAAACCTGGGGAGGGGTCATCTGCAGTTCGCTGAAGCCAAGGGCAACGGCGCCTGTCACTTGCCGCGCCCGCTTCCGAGGTCCTCAGCAACCAGCAGGGAGCAGACTTGGTATTGTCCTGTCTCAATGTCTCTCAAGGTCACCAGCGGGGGCGGTTTGTGTGTGCCTGGACGAAGTTCGATTCTGAACGATCGTCAATACAACCCATGCGCCAATACAAAACTCTATTTATGACGATCAACAAATACAGCTGCGGTTAAAATCCGGCCCCTATTCATTGTGATTAGCAAAGCAACAGCAATTGAAAAATGAGTCCTTGTTCATTGAGATCTGCAAGAATAACAGCAAGTGCAAAGGAATCCCTGCTCATTGAGGTCTGCAAGAGCAACAGTAAGTAAAAACGAGTCCCTGCTCACTTTGATCACCGAGAGTTGCAGCGGAATAAAGCAAGGCCCGACTCAATGGGTTTCAGGAAAAATTACCGTTCAGTCAAAGGGCCAGCCAATCACAGCCCTGAAGAATCTGCCTTTTCTGAGCGGGAACCAGTCAATCAAATGCCAGCCGGGCAGAAAGATACAATTCAAATTTCTAGTAATGTTCCTTTACGGAGGGGGCCCTTGCTCATTGTGCAACTGCTTAATCGCAATCTTGCATGCCCCGTCAACAGTGAGAATGACCGTTTGTCACATCCATGTAAGTGACTGGTCATTTCAGGGGCGGACACATCTCGCTCGAGAGTTGCTGTTATCGTGAACGACGGTTACATTTGGTTCCCTCATTAATGGCTGATCACGCCAACAAAGGGGTGCGTCTGACCCTCACTTTAGTACGAGCGTCCGATCTCACCCACAGCGGGGAAAACGGGGACGATTAATAAATGATACCTGCTGCAGCATAAATAACTGATTTTTTTGCTTCAAGCGGATTGGTTGATACCCCCAACATCGTTAATAGATTGGCCTTCCCACTGGCAAGACTGTTGCCGCTGATAACGGGAGTAAATGGATCGCTCACCTGTGAGAATAAGAGATCCCGACAGCGATCTTAACTGGATCATCGAATCGTCTGGTCAGTTCGAACCTGAATGTACTTGGACACGTACATGTTTAGAAGCACGGTTTGACAAAAGTCGAGAATTCAGTCCCTCTCTTGCTTTCCTGACTGGCTCTATCTTCCCGCACAACTTCTCTGATCTCAACGCGCCCCTCTCTCCGTCACCCTCTCTTTCTCTCTTTCCCCGTCTCTCCCTTTCTTTCCCGCTGTATGAGGCTTTCCCCCAATCTGACTCTCGCTCTCTCCCTTTGGGGCGAGGTTCTACTCACCTCGAACAGAGAATTAAGTTTCGGTAAACTTCACCATAATTCCACAAATATGAACTCAATTCAAGCTTACCTGCAGGCTTCACTCTTCCCCTACCATTGGGAAAGCTCGACTGTGCGGTAATGACAACTTCCCCTAGTAGCATAGATTCAACTGTCAGCACCGTCGATGATCGCTTCCTCAGCGCTCATGTACCATCAACCCGTTCAACCCTCTGACCCACTGTAGCTGCACAGTCCAAGCGGCTAGAGTTCATGGAGCATCAGGTGCGCGCTCACGCATCGTTACATTCAAGTGCTGGTCGAAACGGCCAAAGATACCATGCTGGACGCTCCTCAGGGTCTTCCCCTGCGCCCGAGTGGCGACGATGGCAGGGCACCCCTGGGGCATTTCGTCCTTCACTTCGCTGTTCGCTGCTCTTAACTCCCGTCTCCCTCGTCAAGAGCCCTTAGAACCGCATCTCTCCACCAATCGAAAGTGATACGCCGTGAATACCTCGCACCCTCAGTGCCACCCGCCTGTACTGTTCTCCCCGGCCGCTCACAAGTGCGGACTGGGTATGCCTTTCATGCCTGTCCCCCCTGCCTGTGTCTATCTTCCCATGTCACAGATCTCCTCGCCTGTACTCCCAACCGGGCTGTACAGGAAAGCGGGCGAGCAGAATTCAAACGCGACTGACGTTGGGATGTTTGCCACCGCAAATGAAGGGTCGTGCTTACCATATAGAAAGTTCACTATTTTACGGGATTGCCAGTGGTCACTTCCCTTGAGAAGACTGAGCGCCTTCGGATTCTCTCGCGGGTACACACTTACACACGCCCTGTGTCTCTCTACTCACACTCAGTCTCCCTCTCTCAGTCGGACTCTGTCCTTCTTCTCTCTCTGTCCCTCTCCCTCTCTCTCTCTCTTACTCTCTCGGACTCAGTCTCTCTTCTTTCTCTGTCTCTCTTCGCTGAAGCCCATGGTGCAGCGCGCTCCTTGCCCGCCGCCTTGTCTCCCCTGTAACTACCTCGCGCCGTTCTCCTCCCGACGTTTTGCGGCTCGAGTCAGCGGATCGCCGTGTCCACCTGGCATGCGATCCCACTCTCTTTCCTCCTCTCTCCCCCGACTAACCGCCTAAGCGTCCATGCTTCCACCCCGTGCTTGCACTCATTGCTCGCTCGTCTCCGGTCAACTTCCGGAATGCTGGGTACGCCTGGCATGCATCTTCCAAAAAAAAAAAAAAAAACCCTGGTACCCGTTTGCTTCCCCTATATCCACTGCCTGTGGCCAACTGCCCTGCTTCCACTCGGTCCGCGTCGCAGTCCCTACAGCCCCAATGCACCAGGCCCAGAGAATTTCTTGCCCTCGTCAATCCAGGCCCGGTTATGCCGCCTTGGTCCATTGCGGTAGCTGTTCCAACTGCAAACCAGTGACCAATTTCTAAGCCCAGCAGGTCCGGGCCATGGCGTGCCGTCCCAGGACTGTGTTAGTAGACAACTGGTGCCCATTTCAAGGTCGAAGTACTGAATCGCAGCCAGAATCTGCGCCACGTCACAGGCAACGTGCCTGGCCCTTTTACGGTCTCCGAACCCCAACAGCGGAGGCTGTAGCACTCTGTTTCAGTGTTGTGCCACTATCAATGCAGCGAACTGTGAACTGCAACAGCCCTGAAACAAATCAGAGCGCCGGACCATCAAATTCCAATGTCGAATAGTCCAATACTGTTCCAGTTCGTGTCGATGCCGATCCAATAGTTGTGCCAATCTGCATTAGCGCTCATGCCAATGCTGTCGCGATAATAGTTCCATACCAGTTCCGTTCCAGCAAGCGTTCCAATGCCGGTTTCGAAGAAACGATCCGATTCACCGCCGCCTGCACTATTATCATACCGCTCGGTGTCGAGTGTCGTACCGTGCAACAATGCGTTGTAATAATACCGAGTCTGTCCCGAACCGGAGTACCGTGCCCGAATCGACCCAGCGGTAACACCCAAGCAATGAAGCCCAGTCAAAATAGCACGGTGGTAATCCCGCGCCAGGCATCCATCCCGCACTCACTCACAACACCCGGATTGGAACAATGTGGCGCTTATGCAAATCAGGTAAGTTTAGCAAGTGAAGCGGTAATCTTGATTATCGAAAAATTGAGAGGGTGGTTAGAATCAGGATAAATTAATAATTCGAAATTAAAACCCCTCGCGAATAACCAAGTAAATATTAGTTAATTATCAGATAATCGTGGGTTTCCTCCTCGTTTTATTATTTTTAATTATTTTCGTTAT